ATTTGATGGGCGATGCTTTTGTATAGCAGGGGTGCGACCTCCACCTTGGTAATATTAAAGCATAGACTTGGCTTCTTAGTGCTAGAAAGGGACTGATTATGATAAGGGAAACCGGGTTACTCAGCCTTTGAACAAATCACTGGATTTTGGCTGGCTCTCCTAGGCACATCATTTAATATCACATTTGGGGATGTTACATTCACAGTCTGCCTTCCTGGACTCCATCCAGGCAATATTATCCTAAAGCAAATGGCAGCAAAAGCTTATCTTTATACCAAGTGCCAGGAAGTTGTGCTTTGTTGCACAAAAGAAGGCCCCAAGATCCCATGCGGAGAAACTCTGCAACTCAAATCATTGTCTTGCACATGGAATTCCAAATGTTACATGTTAAGTTGCAGCTTGATCAGATGCACTGTGAACAAGAACTTCAAGATTTTGTTTTGTTTCAAGCTTTCTCAGCTGATGCTACCAGACTAATCCAAGTTGCCGGTGGCGTGTCTGTGGCAGTGGCGTTTCCTGCATCTGAGCCCCTCTTTGCCTGCCACCTTCGCCGCTCAGTTCCGCGGCCGCTGCAGCAGCAACTGCAGGTGCCACCCAGTTCCCAGGCAATGGTGTCTTTCAGTCCCGGCAATAGCCTTTGCCGGAGGAGTCACACCTGCCCTTCGGACGCAGGCACATCGCCCTGCATCTTGCAGCCTTCGTTTGCACACATGATGTGAGAAGAGACCGGTCTATCTGTAACATTTTGCCTTTTGTTTTCCTGTGCAACAGCCAGGAAGCTGTGAAACAGTGACTTTAAGCATGCACAGAGTGTCCTTTCCTCAGTATGGAAACATACCCGCCCTGCATGGCAACTCGTTTTAAGGTTGCTAAATGTTGGCAGTGCTGAGAATCATGCACTGTTGAACCTTCGTGTAAAGAGCCCTGCGCTGCCCTTGCAGGCCGGGCTGTCTGTGGGCACATGCCTGCCTGATGGGAGGAGGAGGGGAAAGTGCGGGGCAGCTGCGTCAAGCAGGTTTTACACGGGTTGCCGACAAGCAAGGAAAACGTTGCTCAGAGCCTCTGCCATGGGTGTACTGTTTTATGTCAGAAAGGCAGACTAGATTAGACTGGCGCTCAGTTTCTAACATAGGCCAACAAAATGCTTCTGAGAAAGAAGCGTAATAAACATGATGTCTGTCTCCAGCATGTGATATTTGCAGATACGCAACACTGGCCTGTGGAGGCTTCACCTTCTTGTCCTGGCTAGCTGTGCAGAACCTGCTCTCTGTGTGATTCTGTGTGCACGGTTTGCATCACTTCTGAAATGCATGTTCGCATGCAAATTAGCTTGAGTAGCTATACCCTTGTTTAAAATGAATGGGATTGCCTGTCCATGGGAAGACTGCACTGAAAGTCTCCTTTGATCAGAAAGGTCTGTGCACTGGAAAGCAGCCTGCAAGGTCTGTGCACTGCAAATGCTGCCGACTCTCTCCAAGGCTACCTGAAAGGTCCCAAGTGCCAGCAGCCCCTTCCAGGGGACTCTGATTGGAGGAGGGGGAATCGCAGGCCTGCCCTCCCACCCGTCTCTCTCCCTCCTTCCCTTAAGTTCACATTTCCCTGGAGGCAAATGCTGCTCCTCAAACACAGAACGGACTTCTCCCAGGCGAAGGGCAAGTGGGACAGGCCGCTGCCCCCTGGGCCACCCCTCTGGTGGCAACTGGCAGTCTGTGAGAGCCACCTGGGCCAAACAAGGTGCCAAGCCTGCCACTGTGGTTTGAGCAGCCACGGAATCGACAAAGCATCTGCGCAAAGCTGCTTTGAGCCCTGCTAATCCCACTGGGGCGTTCAAAGCTGATCTGAGGGAGGTGGTATGAAAACTACGACTGCCAACATGTTTGGAGGGGACCCCGATCCTTCTGTGCTGCAGAATGAGTTAATAATGCCTCATGATTAGCTCAGCGCAAACGGGAAATAGCAAGGCTCCGCAACATGTTTCTTCTGGGCACAAGCTAAGCTGCTGGCCACAGAGGAGAGGAGAGGAGAGGAGAGGAGAGGAGAGGAGAGGAGAGGAGGGCAAAACCCAAAGTGGCTAGGGCCTGCCACAGCAGGGCAGTGCCATCCTTCTGCAAGTGCCAGGCAGCCATCACAGCATGCCCTCTCTGTGGCGCCACATTCAGTCAGAGGGGGGGAAAGGGAGGCCTTTGCGTCCCCAAGAAACCTCAGCCGTCCCCCAAGGAGGGCCTTTCAGCAGCAGCCCTCAGTGCTAGAGGTCACTCCTGCTTGGTTTGTGCTCAGCTGTTCCACCGGTTGCTGGGCAGGCACCTCACTGCCTCTGCTTGGGACATAGTAAAAGCGACCACACCTTCAGGATGACTGGGAGTTTCTTGGGACGTTCCCAAGTCCAGGTGTCCTTTGCAGAAATGAAATAATGTGCTGCACAGACACTTCAAATGCTCAAGGCACTTCATGCATGTCTTCATGATTGTTATGTCTGTGCAAGATGAGCTCCTGAAATTGCAGTGGGAGGGCAGGCTGAGAGAAGAGCGACTGGCTTAGGGTCACCCACAGCTTCACCTCGCCACTCTCAGCAGGACACCATTGCAATCCACGGGTGGCCTCTGCATCATGCAGAGGACTGCGATCTCCTGCAACACACACGTGCTTACCATGCAAGCGATATGAGGAAGGGGCCATGGAACTCGCCCCCCCCCCCACACGCACACACACACCAGTCATCCAGCACATCAAGGGCGGACAGGCCTCCCCACAGATCAGTGAAGCCAGATAATTTCCCAGGCCCCGAGGCGCATGCCAAGAAGGCGACTGACGCTCTGGGCAGCCAGAAGGCTGTTCCCAGCCAGGTGTTGGCCTAGGAGAGCCGGGGGGCAACCTGTGCAGCAGAAGCCGCTGCTGCCCAACCTATTTGACGGAGCTTCTCACAGGTGCTCAGCAGCCCCGTTCAGGGGGGCCAGAGCGAGACCTCCCTGCAAGTGCCAGTCTCTAGCAAAAGGACCAAGCGGCTGCTGAGATCACGTCCTGGGAGAGCAGCTCGTGCAAGAACAACACTGCCTTGCTGGTGAGACCGGCAGGCACAAACCAAATGGCAGACAATTGTCCCCAGCACACTAAATTATGGGGTGTGGTACGATACACACAAAACGTTGTCTCAATGCCTCTTCTTTAGGACACTCGTGGAAGCTGTGTGTCCTCAGCCTGCCGCTCCGGAGGCAGTGCAGGCCAGGGAGGCGGCGATGCCGCCTCGCTTGTGAGAAGCAACCTGTCTGAGGCAGCACCGAACCAACAGAGGCCTGCCCCACTGGCCTCCCCTTTTGCTCGTCGGTCCCCTCCAAGAAGGGTTCTGTGCCTCCCAGAAACTTGCCTCCAGTGCCTGGGACCTCCGGCGCCTCAGTGGAAGGGCTTGCCTTGTGCTGTGGCTGAGCAGGGCAGATGCACATGGGGCTGAAGCCCGGAGGCTTCGCTTGGCATGCTCACTGGTCTGCTGCCTTCAGCCTGGGCCGCCTGCCTGCCTCCCCGATTCCAGACGAGCCGCCTCATTGCAGCTCCCCTCTGCCTTGCTCACCTGGGGCAATGAGCCCCTGGAAGGGGCGAACCGGAGCCTCCCTGGGCGGAGGCCGAGCACAGCTGTGCCCTTGCCAGTGGGATGTGTGCAAGGCAGGCAGGAGGCACTGATCGGAACCTCCGCTGGCAGGAGCACCGTTCCCCACACCGTTCTGGGCTGCGGCTTCTGAAGCGTGGGGCTGCGGCGTTCCTCCACTTCCACAAGGGCTGGGAACGTTAAAGTGGGTGGAAGGCCTGCTTGATGACTCACCGAGGCTGGGGTGGGGGTGCATGCACAGCACGGGGGGGGGGGAGCAGGGGCAAAGGGATGCAGCGGCCAGGCAAGCGGGAGGCTCGGATGGCTGTGGGGGCTGCCAGGTTGAAGGGGACAGGCCAATGGCTAGCTGTAAACATTCACGGCTTCCTTTGGAGGCGCCAAGACCACCAGGCGAATGCACCTCCCCAGGGCCCCCTCCCACGACTTGCCACTGAGCGCAGACTTGCGGGAGGAACTGCCTCGTTTAAAAACCTGTGGGGCCTTGCCTGCCTGTTCACCTCCGCTGCGGGGAGGAGGAATCTGAGCGCAGCCCAGGGCTGTGCGGGCGCAGCTCTCTGCCGCCGATCCCAAGCGGAAAGTAGGAGAGCCTGCCGTGAGTACTGGGGGGGGGGGGGGGGGGGGGGGGGGGGGGGCCCGGGGGGGGAAGAAAGGGGGGGCGCTCCGGCCAGCCACGCTGCGAAGGCCCTCCGTGCCCCGCAGGGAGAGGGTGCGAGTGCGCGGCAGGAGGGAGCCGCGCGAGGCGAGCGCAGGGCGGGCACTTGCTGTCTCCGGAGCCCGGCGCTGCTGCCCCCCTACCCGCCGCATCCCCACCGCCAGGGCGCGATCCCGCCGCCGCCGCCGCCTCCGCCTCGAGAGCGAGCCGAGCCCCGCGTGCCCCGCCGTCCTTTGCCCTGCGCCTGAGACCATCCCGCCGGGCGCCTCCTGCTCAGCAGACGCTCCCGCAACAGGTGGGCGCTGGCGGCCAGGCAGAGGCTCTCCCCCGCCTCTGCGGCAGGGGCTCCCGACCCCCCGCAGCTGCAGCCCGCGCCGGGCGGCGACGTCCCCCCCCCCCCCGCCAGCCGAAGGTGCGAGGGAGAGCGGGTCTGGCCGGGCAGCGCCTGCCCGGGGAGGCTGCAGTGTCGGGCGCTGCTAGGCGGCGGCGGGAGACTCCGGGGGCACCGCGCCGCCGGGAAGCAGGCGCAGCTCCGCCGGAACCGGGCGCAGGACCAGGGGCGATTCGCCCCGAGTGCCCGCGGGGCAGCCTGAGGGGCGACGAGCCCCCGCCGCTCCGCCGCACAGCCGAACTTTCCCCCGGGAAGCGCCCGCGCCCCTTCCCCGCCGTGCCCCCGCCGCAGCGCGCCCCGGTCCCCCTCCGCCCGCCCGCCCGGCGCCCGTCCAAGCAGCGGCTGCCGACGGCAAGTACCTTCCAGGCAGCAGGTCCGCCACAGCCCCGAGTGGGTCATGACTTCCTCGTTCTTGCGGCTGGTGTCATTGTCGCTCGTGGACTTGGTCCTGCACACGCCCCTGGAGTACAGCCAATAGTCCGTGCCCACCGCGATGGTCATGAGGCTGAACGCTGCGAAGGCGCCCAGGGTGGTGAGCAGCATCTGGACGCCGCGGTCACACATCCTCATGCTGATGCATGGTCCCGCGGGCGGGCGGGCGGCGCGGGCGGCGCGGGGCGAGCCGGGCGGCGCGGCGGGAGGCGCCCTTCCTCGCCGGAGCCGCGCTCCTCCGCCTCGGCAGCGGCCGGGAGCTCGCGGGCTGCCGCCTCAGGCGCGCCTCAGCCTTCGAGGGATCCTGTCCCCGCCTCCCTCCGACGGGTCAGGAGGCGGATGCC